TATATATATATTAGATTTTGTAATTACAAAAGTTTTTCCACAAATTTAGAGATTGCAGAGCTTAAAAAATTATTATTATCTTAATATAACGAAAATTATCTAATCATTGATATATTAATCTTATGTTTTAGCACGAATGGTGTGCCATATTTCTCAGCAGTTTACAAACAATTAGAAAAACTGGTAAGAATGCAAGTGACAGAAATGTTTCTCGTGAACAAATCATAAAAGATATTTATTTATATAAATAGATTTTTTTACTTGTGATTTTGCAACAATTGCGTCAAAGATACACTGTCACATAACACATCATTATTTTTTATTCACTGTGTCGTCAAGCTGGGTGTGCTATGTTTGGCTTAAACGCTTTATTCGAGACGTCGATCGTGTCTATGAGAGTAAAATAATCTCATGAGGAAAAAAGATTACTTCGATTATTTTTTTCCAAGCAATACTTAAATTTAAGAACAAAATCACACTAATTAGAATGTATCAAAGAGAAATTCAATTGAATTTCTTAAACTGTATCTAATTCGACAAAATTTCAAGTTACTTAGAAAAATATTCGGTCGACGTCCTTGCATTGAAATGACAATACATATTACTGTTTATATATAGAGTGTCCCAAATTTACGGTGATATTATTTTATGGTGATATGGATAGTATTTAAAATATGTTATATTGTAAATAACAAGCACGATTAAAGATAAATAAAAATAAGTTGTAAAATAATCATAATTATGGTAAGGTTGCATCGGACACGCTGTAAATAAACAAGTCGCAGTGACCTGAAGGGGCCAGGTTGGGAAAAAGCGTGACGACGAATTATAAATGTCCATCAGGTCAGCGCGATTTTACTGTACACGAAATATTTGTCCATAGCTGGCGGAACACGTGGCGAAACACATGGAGAACACTTCCGAGGTACTTTTTTCATCGCCACCACAAAATATTAAACTTTCTTTCTCTTTCTCTTCTAACTCTTTTTTATCCTTGTCTATAATTCTCTCTCTTGTTCTCTTACTCTTTCTTTCTTTCTGTTACTTCGAATTTCTTGCATAGTGTAAAACTGTGAAATCGTCGCATTTTTATCTGCATACCCATTAAAAATGTGTAAATTAATTATTACATTAATAATTAATGATTAATAATTAATGACAAGAAATATTATGAAAATTAATAATTACGTATAGTATAGTTATATTGTATGTAATGCTTAATATGCTGTAATATGCGCATTCTGTGCAAAATAAATAATAAATGTAAGCAAGATTGTATGAGTATGCAGTTAAAGAAATAGACGTTGTTAATAAACTTAGTAATTACTGAATATATTTTATCGTATGTATATACTATTATATATACGTTAGTTTCGAGGAAATTAATCTATATTTTGATTAGCAATCTAAACGACTAGTATATTTAAAGTTCCATATGATTTTTTAACACGAGGAGAGCACACACTTTCAACTTCTACACACATAAATACAAAAAAAATACTCGCAAAATGCACGAAGCAGGCAATAGTGTGCCAACTAGAACAACTCCAATTATTACTATATGTACTATTAAATAATAAAAATATATTAATTTTTTAATATTACTTCATAAAAATCTGTTTCATCAATTTTAACATACCGATGAAAAAAATGCGCATTAGTATTACCTTATCATCGGCAATATAGAATTTTAGAAATTGAATTTTTTACCTTTTTTTTTTATGAAGTTAATTTGTTTTATAAGCTCTCTTGATATCAAAAAAAAAATTATAACGACTATACTGTACTATTTGGCATTTGTTAAATCTTTATTTCCCATCATTAATGCATATTCTTCACAACACCTTCACATAGCCTAGTCCTCGTGAATAAATCTATCGGATATTGCATGCGCCCATCCGAATCGTTAGCGAAACACAGCTGCATTTGACGCGTACTGATTGCATGCGCTCGCCAATTTAGCAAATGATACACCACTCATTTATCCCTGTGTCCTTATTTTTAGTCGCGGTACAGGTGTATTTTTCGTTACATATAACTGTTACAAAAAGTTACAAAAATAATTGAAATCGATGTACAATGTACCATTTTAGAAAGCACGTTTATGCGCGATTATTACTTTTTACAACTCTAATAGTTTTTCGAAATTCGCTTAAATTTATATATAAATTATTTTGACATTCACAAAGTTTAAAATATTCAAACGCAAAATTTTTTAATTTTTACAATAAGATAAGGCTATTAGAATTAAAGACTTTTTAATATTATACTATTCTTTATAGTGATGCGTGTTCAAATATTTGTATACCTCAATTTTTTATATTAGACTTGTTATCATATCAATTGATTCCTATATTTTAATCCTATATTTTTATATATTTTATTTAATATACACTCCTCGAGAAATACATCTGTATTTGCTCACGTTCAGCAAAAAATAAATGAATTAAAATAAATTACAAAAATACGTCACTGGAAATAATGTACTTTTTAAGATTAAATACTTTTTGTTTAAAAAATAATTACATTTTTAATACTGATTATATTAACACACATTTCATACCGGATTATCGATAATCCATGCAGAACTTTCCGTTCAAATAAATATAATTAATAAATATAATTAATATTTTAACTTTAAAAAGAAACATAATTACAAAATAATTTTTCATATCATACATGGATACATAATTATATGCTGCTACATTGATAAATTTTTGTTTTTTAATCATGAAATATGTTATTTGATAAATATACAAGCAAAATGCCTTGGTTCACAGTTGGTATGATTCACACGTCAACGTTATTTAAAATTGTTTCACGTTATTAATATTATTATTACTACTCGTACTTAGCAATATAGTTATATAGATATGTCAAATATTAGAATATTTAATAGAATATTTAATATAATTAAAATAATCAAATGTAGAAATTATTTTGCTATATTTTGATAATTTAATGAGATAATTTAATTTTTAAATTATTTGTTATAAAAAGTTGTTTAAATAGAAAAAACGTAAAGAGATAAAACGAATTTTAATATTTGTATGGACAATTTTAAATTTAAGTTAAAAATTTGTTATTTCGTATAGTTGTTATTTTCTACTTTCTATGAATTATAGAATTATAATTGTTACTTGGAAATTCTTCTTAAAAGAATTTATTTTTTGCGGAACAAACAAAAATAACAAAAGACGCGTAATTTACATTTTTTACACTTTCAGGAATGCTCTCGCGCATCCTCGAGTTCGACATCCGACACCTCGCGAGTTCTGATTAAATTTCTTCCGTAGATGCCACAAAACTTCAGTAAAAATTTTACAACTACTAGTGTAATTTCAAAAAGTGTTGAATTTGTTCAGTTGTTCAGATCTATCGCGAAAAATTTCGAACAGAAAGCTCCCAATTTGTTATCGAGCTGACCACATTTTTTCATGTTGTAAAAGAATTAATTCAATTACGTTAGATTAAAACAAATTTAATTAATTGTAAACTTTTACAAATTTTTAATAAGGTCATTCTTTTCCGCTTGTATGTACATTTATTTCCGAGTAAATTCTGTACAAATAAATCGTAGGGCTAGAGGAAGTACTTAAAACTTCCAGAACATAATGCATATATATGTATGTATATTTTAAGCGAGTTCTCTAAACAGTTTACATAAAGATGCTTGAAAAGTTTTGTAATGACCATCTGCTGTGTTGTACAAGCACAACTCCCTTTATATCTCTGTTAACTACATCACCACCGAAAAAACTGACGTCCGGCATGATCTTGATTCTCTCTCGAGAATCGAGATCTCTTTTAAGCAAAGTCACAGGGGATCGCACGTCAGCGTGCAACACGATAATTTGCTACAAACACGCGAAATTGAATTTTAATAGCTTTACATACAAATTTCGCCGGGTATGCAAATTCACTAGGGCTTGCGACGTTTAAACGATGCATATATAATCTAACAAATTGTTGCGTCGTATGAAGTATACGATACGTAGTAGCGCGTAAAATCGACCTCAACAAAATTCAATTTTAGACGCATTTTATATGGATTACATGTTAAATATTTTTTGACAAAAAAAAAGGTTATTATACGATCTATTAATAGACATCATAACTTCTCATTTTTGTGAATTATTCAAATATATATAATATTTAAAAAATATAAAGAGAATGTAATATCAAATATCATTAAAATATAGATATAATTTGTAGATAAAAATTACAATCCATTGCTTGTTAAATATAATTATACATGTATGAAAATACAAAAATAAATTTACAACAAAATATTTCGAGTAAAAAGTAAAAGTACTGTATTCTATAATGTATTGCTTTGTAACTAACATTTATACAAAATGTTGGATCGTATATGAATTACTTTGCGAACAATTAATGTACACATACATTTCAAAAAAAGCATGTACCAAACTTTCTCGTTGAGGGCTTTATCCCACTTTCTTAGTGAAAAAAGTTTATAATAGCTTAATTAGTTAATTGAGATTTTAAAAATTTTGGCGAATTTTGACACAATGCTTCAAAGATATTAAGCTTCAAAAAGCAATAGCATTGTACAATATAATAGTTTAAACGAAGTAATTAAAAGTAACATTATCACTGTGCTTGCGCGTTTGTGGCTATACGATCGAATAGATCGCGCGTAATTAAAACAATCACTTTCATAGATGCATAACGAGCTTGGCGCAAGGGTCACCACCGCCTGTTTGCAGTTACATGGTCAAAACCGAGATGAAGAGTATGTTTTACCACCCGGTGCTGAGATAGGAACACCGATATTCGAACTTTACTTGGCTCTTCAAGATTTTGTAAAGTAAATGTCTATTATGCTTAGTAATTTTTATATCAATAAAATCATCTTTTAAAATAGATATTTAAAATATGAGTACTAAAAAATAATTTTTATGGTTTATAGTTGTCTTACTTTTTTAACATTAACACAAATATAGACTGAATTATTTTGAACATAGTATTTAGTATTATATCACAAAAGTATTAAAATTAAATATATATGTGTACAGATATAGTATATAATAGTATCTTTTAATTTATATATTTTTATATAACTGAAAGATTACTTTTCATATTTATTTCATATTTATTTTACATTAAGGAGAATGGATAAATATATCATATTGTGATTGAACACAAAATTTGTTTTAGTATGAAAGAGAATTTACCACAATCGGACCATAAAACTTTGGCGATCTGCAAATATTACGAGTGGTTTAGACCAGCAATCGACAAATGGCTAGATCTGGCGAAACTCAAGGCAATTCAAAGAGTACGAAGAGCTGCGGAACTCGATCGAATCTGCACCGGGGAATATTTCGTCAAACACTGCACATCGGCAATCGATGCCACTGCGTGTTTTTATCAAGTACTCAAATTTTTTTATTTTTCTGATTTATATGCCCATCTCGATACTGCAATAGTCACAATTTTGTTATAAAAAAACTGTCAATAATTATATATTTTTTCTGATCACAGATTAAAGAATTCTGGAAGAAACTAGCGTGGCCGGATCTAGTTGGATCTTATAACTTCGTGTTGAAAGTCATCGATGTAAGTATATATCATAATTATTTTTTTAACAATTTTAATATTTAAAATCGCTTATATCTCTAATAAGAAATTATTATAGATTAAATTTTCAATGCTTTAAATTTAAATCATCGATGTAGAATTTGTGATTCCACATCCATGATTTAAAACATTGAAATTTTTATTCACAATAATTTCTTATTGTAGAAATATATTTGTGTTAATCAATAATTTTCACATTCAACGGTGCTTTTAATATGAAAATGTAATAATTAAAAAATACAGCCTATAATTATTTTCTTAAAATACACTAATGCCATCGCAATAATATTGTGATGTCAACACTATTTGCTATAGGCAATATGCAGCTCCGCGGCTTACTATGCAGAGATAACACATCAGAAACTGGCGGATAGCGGATATTATGAAGAGCATACACCATATAAGACCACAGATGAGGTAATCGCTCAGGTAGAGATTGCTTCGCTTTAGTATACAAACAGTAGTACACTTCCTGCTTCGCAAAGTAGTTTCACTAAACTATGAGAATATGAGATGCGATTACAACTTTGCACGACAAGCGGAGCATGACGCGATATGCAGCGCAAATTCTATTAACGCAATAATTAATGTAAAAAGCGTATCAGGGTCTAATATATAAATATGGATCAAAATATGACTAATTTTTATACATATGAAGCAATTGTACGTATGTAAAAAAAGGTAAGTTTTCAGCGTTTGACATTATAAATATCTCAATGTATAATATCTCAATGCGTAATAAGTTATATGTGTGAGAATATTATAAACAAGGAAGTAATCAAAGCTATTACTATTAAATAAACATTTAATTAAAACATATGATATTTTAAAATGTCATATCATATATCCAAAAAGTTTAGAATAATTATATATGTACATTTCATTAATATAGATACACATTTTAAGAAATACATGATATATATTATTAAATTTATAAACTTTAAATTTATCATAGAATTTAAATAATTTCCTTCCATCTTTGAAAGTACTACAAAATTTATAGAACGGTACAAAAACCCTTTTGCATCGCGCGAATGAAATATGCAGAAGGGCAATGTGATAATTATTAATTTGACTGCTCGACAATTAATTAATAATTTATGCTATTTTCAGATGTGCGTTGCTATTAATGGTCTTGAGTATGTGAGAAGATGGTTATTGGATCTGGGCGAGGAACTTCGCGTGGAACAGATTCTAACTGCTTTGGAGAATCAAGCAGGCGAACCTGTTCGAATGCAGTGGCGAAACACTATGATAACACCACTGGAGCAAACTCCTGGGCAAATGTTACTCTTTATAAATCAAATAGTTTCAAGAATTGGAGCAAAGGTATTTTGAGATTAAATGTTGATATAAAAAAAAAAAGAAATCAAAATTGTTTGCTTAAGTTTTAAATTGGATTTCTTAACTAATACAACTTAATCTTCCTCGTTTTATAAATTACAATCACGTAATATATATTCTATGCATAATTTCTTCATTATCATAATCTCTAGATGAATATCTCGCTGCTCTTTTTAAAAGGTCACCAAGTCATTGCAGAGTAATTTACATCCCAGTTTTAAAACACCATTGGCGCTTTTATTAGTTTTCAAACATAATTACATGTGATAATATCGTGATAATATCGTTGTAATTATCGGAGATTATATTAACAAACGCATACTAAAAAAACTGCTAACTATACATACAATTTTTATCCTAGTCGAATTAGTCATATTGTAGTGTATTAAACGTGGCAAAAATGAGTTTATCTTAATGAAAAGTTCAAAAATAGCTACATTTGTTTGTTTTTTTCTATCTGTTTTATATAGATGAGACCACCTTTGAAAAAGGCGATGTTTCACTTGGCTTGGTCTCCTGACAGTTTGCCGACTACAGAAGCGATTGCACCTCTCGTGGAATATCTAGATGTTCATCTGGTAACACTTAACTCGGCTCTGCTAGTCGCAAATTTCAATCGCGTTCTGCAAGACATTTGGGAGGTAGTCCTTAGTGAATTAGGCAGTCAAATGGATGGAAATGCCGAGGTAATTGTTCCCTTGTCATAATTGTATGAATATAACACATGTAAATTTATATATTTATAAATAATTTAAATTACACAACAGAATAACAAAATTATTACTTGCAGGATAAACCAGTGATGTTTTATGAGAGATTACACGAAGCACTTGATTTATTAGTGAGATTTTTCAACGCTGACGATAAAGGCTTGCCTCTAGAAGTATTACGTCGTCAGAGTTTCATGAACGCAGAAGAACGTCTCCAGTATCATAAAATGGACACAACTTTCTTGATTGATCGTTATTATCAACAACGTCTTCTGGTATGTAATATGCGACATCCAAATTATTATTTTTATTTTGTAAATATTATTGTTATTTTTCATTTTAAATTGTCCTATTAAACAAATAATAATATCTTGTACAAATATTAAAAATATTCTTATTCTTAAAAAACATTTTTTTAAATATTTTTTTTATTTTTTTATCATATAAGTTTGTTGCATAGCAAAAAATATTGTACAAAAATATTTTGTATTGTAGTAAAATTTATAATGTTTAGTACAACATTTAATTACTGAATGTGTCTTTGTAAATATAATTAATTATAATATTATAATATAGTACTAATATAATATATAATTAATTATAATATTATACATAATATATAATATTATATATATTTATACATTAATTTTTAGGACCAACTTAGCACAACCAGTTATGAATATGGAGTTCTGACGATACGAGCTTATTTAAATCATGATTCTCTTTGCCTCGAGGTGATAAATGCCAGAGATGTCATACCATTAGATCCAAATGGATTCAGTGATCCTTTCGTGATAATCGAATTATTACCGCGACGAATGTTCGAACATTGCGCCGAGCAGCAGACTAACGTCAAAAAGAAAACTCTAAATCCCATGTTTGATGAATGTTTTGAATTGTAAGTTTATTGTATGTCATGCTCTTTAATTCTATAAAACAAAATAATATTCACACATCAAAAATGAAATTCAAGAAATTTGTTACTTAATTTAATATTTACTTTATATCATGTAATGATATCTTGTGATATATTTCTGCCAGATTTATATTATAAGATATTATTTGGATTTAAATGTTAAATAATCGGAAAAACAATTTTACTTTGAATAAATGTATACGCGTTTACTTTCTTCCAGTTCGGTGAGTGTGGAGCAATGTCGTGACCCCAATGCGATGGTCCTTTTTACGGTAATGGATCATGACGTTCTCACGGCAAATGATTTCGCAGGCGAAGCTTTTCTAGGACTCAGTACCATTCCTGGCGTCGCCGACACAAACACCAGCATAGACAATTTCCACGGCCTCAAGCATCAGGAATTACCGCTTATGCATCAAAAAAATCGACGTGAGTGAATTAATCAAACTTCATAAATAATAGAATTTACAAAATCTTCTTAATTTAAATTTCTAAAATCTATTTAAGATTTCAAAATAAACTCATTAAGTTTATAAATCCAGGAACCTCTAAACTGTCTTGAAATATTTGTAGTTATGAGATTACCATGGTACATGAATTTATATTATATAAGGAAAATTATATAAATAAGGAATATTATAAATCACAAATTTTTATCTTGTTTTAAGATATTCTATTTAAAAGTATTTTTTACATAAAGAATTAAATAATATGTATTTAATACTATAATATTATAAATTTCATCTTTATATAAGTAATCTTTATCTTATGTTTCTACTTCTTGATGCTCATTTTGCTTGCAAATTAAATATGTGCCTTTTGTTCTAGATCATCCAATCCTTCAAATACTGGAAACTCGAATCGGTGACAAAATGGCCCTTGACTTTGTGAAAAAGCAGAAACAACGATTTGCCACGACGTAAGTGCTTTAAGCGCTGAAGAAAGAGAAGAAGAAAACCATAGTGATTGCATTGCAATTGCTATCAAGACTTGTACACTAATCTTAAGAGTCAATGAAGAAAATCGAGAAGAAAAAGGAAGAGGAGAAAGTCCATCCCTGCGATATGTCGTCGATTCTCACTTTCTCTTTCTCTCTCTTTCACGCACTCTACCTTTCTGCCTATCTTTCTACCAGCCTTCATTCCAAAGATTCGTCAGATCTATTTCAGTGTAAATCGTGTTGAATATAATCGGTGTTGGTCAAAAAAAAAGAGAAAAAAAGGGAAGGCGCGATGAAAGAGGCTCGAGAGAAATATAACAGAACTATTTTTGTGTCGAAGAAGAGATGTGTAGAGCAGAAACAACGCAGCACATGCAGGAAACAGTAAAACACGTCGTAGCTAAGGATAAATGTTTAAATGCCGTCTTGTCAAGCTCGAAGCGACACCGGAGCGACCGTAAAGTTCTTTATTCTACATTTTTTATACAGGGAGGCTCAGATATTTAAATATCTCGCGCGCGCTTCCGAGAGTTTAAGGATTTTTTCTAAGAAAAACACGAGTGTTCATGTTTTTGAATAAAGTAAAAAAAAACGAGACTTTCTCGCGGTCGCGTGATCTGGTTTTCGTCTGTCGAGTATCAACTGTGGATAGATAGGTATCGGGATTTCCATAAGAATATAAATAATATATATGACACATGATGACTTTCTTTAAATCGAATTATTTTCACAGCTTCCATAAGAAAGGAAGTCATCGAAGCTGTTCATGGAAACTTCCGCCTCGATTGCGCAGAATTGATTCACGACAAAATTGGGAGGAAAATGCAAGTTTTTTTTATTATACCTCTAAAATTACTATTTCTTAAAAATTATACAAAATGCTTAAGTTATACAAATTTCTCTTCTCTGCGGACAAGGCAAAGCACAACGAATAATAATATATATTAATGATTAACTTATATAGATAATGAAATTACATTAATAATAGTTGAACGGAAATAAAATATGTGTATATTATCAAAATGAATGTATAGCACCAAAAGTACGTCGAGTATTAATTAATACTTTTTTAAAATTCTTTTCAACTACAAATTTTTTTAACTAAATTAAGATCAAATTATTCTAATACATTTCTAATAATCCGAATAAGATTGTTTTCCTCCCCGAAGAGCAGCCGCGCCGCTTCAGCGTCGCTTCGACGATGCGAATCAAGCCGTAAAGGTTGATATATGATATTTTTCTTACTCTTCATTGGCTAAAATCTCTTTCTATCTTTTCAGCATCTAATCTTTCTAATAACTAAATTATCAACAGCTTTTCTCGCTGTTCCGCTTACGCGAAAAAAACAGAGACGCTTCTGTCAAAATGTTTTACTCTGTGATTCCTTCAGCATCGGAAGAAAGAACAAAATTTAAGAATGTATCAGAGATACAAATTTCACTTTCAAACATAACTATTATTAAATTGAATGTATGTTTCGCTTGAAAAGCGTCCTCTGTGTGCATCGTTCTCAGTACTAGATTTTTTAATTGAATTTATTTTGCTAGTACAGAACATGTGATTCTATGTAGTTCTTTTCTAATTTGCAACATTGATGAATTCTTCATGATTAACATTTAAAGCATATATTAAAACACTCATAATCGAATAAAAAATTGAACATGAAATTGAAAACAAAATTTGTATTAATTTTTCAAAATGCAATCTTTTTTAACTTGCTCCAGTCTTTTAATTTTTTGAAAAGCAAAATAGCAGATTGTAATAAGGATAGTATACTCACGTTATCAAATATATATAAAAAAAATTTAATAATATTTGTTTTTGTTCTAATAATTTACATAACTAATTTAAAATACGAGCAGATAATATGTCAATATGAAAGTAGTCGCATTTCGTTTTATATTCGTCGTTATATAATTATTGAAAGAAATTGGGATGCAAACAAATTGAAACGTGCAAGAAATGAGAACGTAAGAAAGGATGGCGACAAAAGAGAAAGAATTCATTGTCAAACGCACATATGTAAATTTTTCTAATGCACGTATCACTTTGTTATGTAATTATACAAAAAGAAGATAATTATACAACATTCCGCGTAACACACATTAATATTTTGCACACCTTATATAATAAAAGGAATCGGGAAAAAGGAAAACAATTACGAAGAACGAGATTCATTTGTTTGATTCTCAATATATTTTATGCATTAAGTCCAATTAAACTGTACTATTTGCTTTTCCAACTTTTTTCAATCACCTAAAAGGAATGTAAGATCTATCTTGTATCGTGAGACAAATAAATTAATATAAATGTTTGTTTGAGTAATTAATAATTTTCTTTAGTTGACAACAAATTTATGTCCATATTTTTAATTAAGAAAGTTCAATGGTATAAATAAATAGTACTTACAATTAAATTTAACAGTCAAAAACTGCTTTAAAGATATCTTATCCTACAGTTAATATCATTTATATGTCTTACTTGTACTTGTTACTCGTATAGTTAAATTTCAT